TTGCAAACAGCGGCACGCTGAACCAATCTTAACACATGAAACATATTAGAGAAGAAAAATTGTCTCCCTTACTTGTTTCAATCACGCTCTTGCTGGCAAGCAGTTAGAAAAATAAATAATCATTGATAGTATTTCACACACATGTCACATATTAGGGAACAAATAACAATACAAAAACCTGGTCAGTTGGACCGACCTACTATAATACCACTATGTAACACCCTAAAAATCCTAATGCTTAATAATATGAATTTGAACAACTATACACATATGGTGTCATGCAAACACAATATAAACTTGCCTCGTAACGTATCACGGGTTAAATATAACAATTATAACATAAACACATGTCATCACATGCTCACTTTTATATAGGTTCATCGTAGCGAAATTAATAAAGTAAAGTAACTCAATAATTAATTAAATCTTATAATAATTTATTTTAGACATAAAACTTGGTTATTGAAAAATGTCTTCAACATCCAACAACACATAAAACAACGAGTTATAATATCTAACTCTTACAACAACACCATAAAAGAAATAATAATAAACAATAAAATATAACATTTGTCCACCAGTGTTATAAATCAAAGCAACAGATTTTAAATATCGCATAAAATGAAAAAAAAAGAATAGCCTCAACGCCACCCTTCAACTTTTAAGCAGCTACACATTTCCTGCTCGTCTATACTCTAGGAAGGAGCACAGAACCACACAACAACAAAGGGGGTGAGAATACACTCATAAATATATAATGGTGCAAAAGTGTGCAAGGTTAGCCTAAAGCAAACACCAATCATCATACATTTCATTCACATCAATTCAATACAATTCATTCACATCAACCATAACAACTCAATTTCACAACTCAACAACTTATTCACAAACATTTATATGTAAATCCAATGTAAACAATGACTCAACTCATGCATGTGGTATCAATTAATAAAAGTTCTTCATATGAACCATGTCCACCCTTCTAGACCCCGAATCCACCCTTTTAGGTTTGAGACAAGTCACCAGTCCACTCTTCTAGACTTGTAAATTTCCTCTTTCAACAACAACGACATAATGAATGCATGACTTACAACCCAATACAACAACAATAATGTTTAAGGTCCCCCTTCTGACCACAAACAATCATGCATTGACAACATAATAACAGTCACATCTGAATTATTATTTCAACCTCAAAACAACAACAACAATCAATTAATTCAATTAGTATCCAATCTTGATAATAATCCAACACCACATAAAACCCATAATTATGCATACAAAACATAACCTTTCGTTAATCATATAACATCACCAAATAGCATAATCGATTTAATTATGCAAATTAAACAATTTTTAAATAAATTATTAACACTCAACAACATAATTTAATTATACATTTAATTAATCAATATCACCAAAATATGCCCAACAACAATTAACATGAACCGCGTGACAAAACAACACATAAAACCCAACTCAACAGCTACAAATGCACCCACCGACATTACACCTTAATTAAAACAATATATTCACCCTTAAGTGCATATTCAACCTCTTAAAAGCATCACTGTTAGGTAGCACTACACGTTAGCTTTTCAACACTTCGAACTACATCTCATTCAGAGTCATGAAACTCAAGTTACGATGAAAATAATATTTTGACAAAATTTGCCTTTCTGATTCGAAACAAGTGTATACTGTGATTCGAATCAAATCAGCCAGAGACTACTAGAATACCCTGATTCGGATCAAATTCTCAGTGTAAAATCTCTGATTCGAATCAAATCAGTCTATAACGTTTTTCTGCTAATTTTTCAGGGGATTTTCACTTTTCAACTCATTTTTTTCAATCTAGATCTATCCCAAACATTCCCTAACATGTCCAAATAGCTTATTTTAAAAAACCTATTATTATAGGTCAATTACCTACTGTGATACGATGGAAGAACTGACTTGGTTGTTTGCGTTTGATCGCAAATGTTGCGGATAACAAGAGTCACCACCGACTTTTCTTTTATCCAAAAGGAAAAACTGAAAAGAACAGGAAAGACCTTTAGAGAAGTTTTCTTGAGTTCGGGGGTGGATTATAAAAAGGGAATATATTAGCATCCTTTTCATCCGTAGTTATCTACGAGCTCTTAGTTTCTTGCTAGATCACTTGCTTTTGTTTGAATGTGTGTTTGTGGTGTGTGTTTTTGGAAGTATTTTGAAAATGTCTTTGTAATGGCTCTCGTTTCTATAAGAACGCGTACAAAGTGTTATTTCGAAAATAGTTCAAAGAGGTGTTTGTGGAGTGTGTTTTTTGAAAGTGATTTTGAAAAGGTGTCTTCTTTGTAATGACTCTTGTTTCTATAAGAACGCGTACAAAGTGTTGTCTTTTAAAAATGTTTCAAAGAGGTATTGGTGTATAAAATGTTTTTGTTGTGAGCAAGCGAGCAACTTGGAGCGAATATACCTACTCAAAAGGTCTTAAATGTTCTTTTCTTCCTCCTTTAGATGTTGCTATCTTACCATTGATTGATAAGAAGCCCCGTTGTTGGATGTGAAAGGACGGGCGTGAGATGTTTATATAGTCATAGAAGGCAATCTATGAGACGTTTTAGCAATGTCGTTTAGGGACTAGATCATTTACCGAAGACAACATCAAGGGTCATCGAGGGACTACGATCTTTTATCGAGGGTCTTTGCTAAAACGCCCATGTTCGAGGGACATGACTATTTTTCCGATAGGCAACAAGTGGGATTACCCTAAGGGGTGCATGTGTGCAAAGTGTATTTGATTGCATGCATTTAGTCTTCTATTTTTTGGTTGTCTATTTGTTGTTTTTATCTTGCCATACACACCTAATTACTAGCAATATATGAAAACAATAAAAATACGGAGAAATAAAGTCCTATACTATTACATCATTTAAGGGATGGAGTCTACAAATTTACAATGGGGATTACGAGAAATTAAAGTCCTAATTATCTATTACAACCATATTGAAATAATGTACAAGAAATAGACAAAATCATCAATTATGTGTTTACATAAATTGTTTATGATACTTAGATGTATAAGAACAACAAGTGTTTTGGACATGATGTTACTAATAATAATATAGGTAGTAGAATCATTGATAACATTATATATATATATATATATATATATATATATATATATATATATATATATATATATATATATATATATATATATTGGATAAATCATAAGCTTAGAAATCATATTAGTAGACTTATGATGTCATATGGTCTAAGTTTGTCTTGTCTAGATTTCTTGAGAATTTTGATTGGTCGGTTGTAGATAGATCGCTTTGATTGTAATTATTTTTGGTTTTGAATAAAATATATTTCTTTAAAAAAAATAGCTTTTACAAAATAAAATCACTATTCACTATTCTTTTCTTTACCATATATATATATATATATATATATATATATATATATATATATATATATATATATATATATATATATATATATATATATATTCTCCTGTCCCTCTCTCGTACTATTCCTTTGTCTTGATTTGAAAATCATTCTACTGATAAGACATTTACATTTCATTGATGTCACCGAAAATAGCTCAAAATCTCCACTATTTCCATTTTCTCTACCTAAAACCTTATACCTATAAATGTGCCCCTTAACCACCCCAGGTTAATATTACAACATTATTTTGACATGAAACATTATAAAATAAATAAATAATAATAATTGAAGACAATGCATAAAGTTTCGTATAGAAAGGTAATGAATGGTTTAACAAGGAAGGAAGGTATATTCCAATAACCAAACTAAACTGTAACAGAAGGGTATAAACGTCATTTCAAGAAACTTAGAGACGAAGTATTAAAATTTACATTCATACAAAATACAAAACTAAAAGGTGAGTACTACAGAAACAAATAATTACCAACAATTATAATATGCAAAAACAATATAAAATAAATAAAAAATATAATAATATCTATATCTATAATATCATTGTAGAAATAGAGAGAAGGTTTGAGATTTTCCTTTCAGCGTGTGGGTTTTCTAACTGAACAGAAACCAAGGTTCCAAACGCAACAAGGGGAAGAAGAAGACGACGATCAATAACAAGAATCGATCGTATTAAACTCACTCGCAAATCGCAATCGCGCATCGAACTTTGATTCCGATCGTTTCTTTCTCTGTTCGGTAATTCGGTGGATTTTCACTTTTCTTCTTTTGATGATTTTTCAAGTTATCGGATCTGCGAATCCTGATGCCGGATTGTTTTTTCCTATCCTTTTCCGGTGATTCGTTGAATGGAGTTTTTGTTTTAATAGTGATTGCATTATTTATTAGTTTATTTTATTTTTAAGTTATTAGTTTACTTTTGCGTTTTAGATTATGATTATTTTGATTTCGGTATCACGCAATCTGTTTAGAAATGTAATTAGTAGAAACATTGTGCTTAATAGCAATTTAGCTTTGATTATTGCGTGTATTTTTTTATTTTTATTTTACTGTGTTTATATTTTGTTTCAGCTTGATGAATGTGTATGATGTTTTAGACTTTATTCAGGGCTTGATGAATGTGTTTGATGTATTTGTTATTGTTGTTGTTGTTGCTATGTTTGGATTGACTTTTGGAAGAGGAAAAAACAATTCTAGAGATGTATAATTGATTCATGAGTGATTTTGAGGTGTTTGGTTCTTCTAAAGTAGGATTGATTCTGCCTACATAATTTGATTCTACTTGAAGCTAGAAGTTTCTGAGTTTAAACGTGATTTTTACACTTAAATTTGTGGTTCAACTCACTTTTACATAAATATATCCAAACATTAAATCAATTCTGCTAAACTCAAATCTGGAAAAATCAATTTTGTACACCGCCAATCCAAACACACATTGTTTTTGTTTTAATGAATCTGATTATTTGACTATTTTATGTGCAGACATTTTGTTGATTGTGTTATTTTTCTGATTGCTGAGATTGTTATATATGGACTGAGGTGAACTTTTCATGGGAGGTGTGGACGATGAAGAACCAGCTTTGAAACGTATGAAGCTTTCCTCGAACGGATTAGTTGGCTTGTCTAACGGATCATCATCTGTAGAGCCTGTTAGAGGAGGGTTGTCTAGTGACTCTATGGCTCGGACACTTCCGTCTAAAGAGGACGAACAAGTTGTTGGTTCCAAAGGGGTTATAAAGAGAGACGAATTTGTTAGAATAATTGCCAAGGCATTGTATTCTCTTGGGTACAGAAAGAGTGGAGAGCGTCTTGAAGAGGAGTCTGGTATAGCTTTGCATTCACCTGGGGTGAATCTGTTTACGCAACAAGTGCTTGATGGGAATTGGGATGAGAGTGTAGCTACATTGCGTAAAATTGGTCTGACAGATGAAACTGTTGTTAGATCAGCGTCGTGTTTGATATTGGAACAAAAATTCTTTGAACTTCTAAACAGGGAAAAGGTCATGGAAGCATTGAAGACCTTGAGGGAGGAGATTACTCCACTTTGCAATTATAGTAGTAGAATTCGGGACCTTTCTTCCTGCATAGTGGCTCCATCACCTAAGCAAGATGTTCTGAAAGTGAGATCTAGGTCAAAGCTTCTGGAGGAATTGCAGAAACTGCTTCCTCCAACAGTGATGATACCCGAAAAAAGGTTGGAACATCTAGTTGAACAAGCCCTTATCTTGCAGCAAGAGGCTTGCCCATTTCACAACTCAATGGATATGATGTCATTATATTCTGATCATAATTGTGGAAAAGATCTGATACCTTCTAAAACAGTACAGGTTAGAAAATTCCATGACTAAATTCTAATACATTGTCTTTTTGTTTTCTCAGTAGATGTTAGGAAATTGGGATATTTCTTGTTGACGGACTTGTTGATCAGTTATAGCATCCTCTTTTCATTCGCCTGTTGTGAACTGGAACTCTGTCTTTTAGCTTTCTATTGCCTTTACATTTTTTGTTTAAAGGTACATTGTTTGCTCTGAGACTGTTGTATGCTTGTGCATCACTGCTATCCTGTTTCTTCTTTCTTTATTAAAAAGTTAATAATGCGATGTACTGGATTTTGTGGGGGTCTAAACTGCAGCATCTTGCAAATGGATGTGATTATTGTTGAGGTCCAGGGTTTTTTTTTTGGTTACGGTCTTTGCATAAAAGGAATGTTAATGACTAATAAGAATTGACTAACCAATTAACTACGTGTTGGTGATATCCAATTATGAGAGATTTTTGAAAAGAGTTGGTTAATACGGATTTGGATCCTCTCATGCCCTTTCTCTCATGTTTCCATCATGATCTTTTTTCTCTTTCTCACTTGTACTATTATCTTTCATTGTGTTGTAATCAACCATTAGATTAAGAAAAGGAGAGAATGCTGAACCAAAAAGGCATGAGAGGATCCAAATTCGGTTAATACGTGTTAGTTGGTCATGTGAGTTGACTATTTAGTAGTGATATAACTAGACAAAATCTACTCTTGGATGGAATGATACTCTATGTGCATGTATTCGAAATCTCACGGATTTGGATCCTCTCATGCCCTTTCTCTCATGTTTCCATCATGCTCCAATCTCATCCAGAGATTCGTCTTTTTTCTCTCTCTCACTTGTACTATTATCTTTCATTGTGTTGTAATCAACCATTAGATTAAGAAAAGGAGAGAATGCTGAACCAAAAAGGTATGAGAGGATCCAAATTCAGTTAATACATGTTAGTTGGTCATGTGAGTTGACTATTTAGTAGTTATGTAACTAGACAAAATCTACTCTTGGATGGAATGATACTCTATGTGCATGTATTCGAAATTTCACCGAAGATTTGGTTAAAGTTTTCACTAGGAAAAATATGCATCTATTTTGCTTTTCCAAATTTCAATTCTGGAAGTAACATTTCAGTGACAAGGAGGTCGCATCTTCCCAATACCATGGTTTAATATTTCTCTTTTGCACTTTACCTGTCATACCCTACTTCTTACCACTTGAGAAGTTTTCTCTAATAATAACTCAATAACCTTAAAGTAGAAATTCTATAGAATGCCTTTTCGTTGCAAACTCGTTCACATTTCATTTGTATCATATAGAACTCCACAGATCAGGGATCCCATTAATAATATTTTTAATCTAATTTCTGAAAACCAACCCTAAAAGCCAGGGAGGATGAAATTGGGATAAAGAATGTAATTTGTCTTCTTTTTTATACTTGCAGGGCAAAATTTTGTCTCTGTTTTTCACACAGCAACCTTCCTGCCATTAATTTCTATATAGCTTGTGTTGTATCTATAATCTGATTTTATTTTTCTGCAAAATATTGTAACAGATATTAGAAAAACATGATGGTGAAGTCTGGTTTGTACAATTTTCACATAATGGAAAATATTTAGCTTCAGCATCAAATGATCAAACTACAATCATCTGGGAGGTGATTTTTTATTTTTATATGAGAATTTCTATTTTTCTCCGTTCTCTTTTGTTGTTTGTGTACACATCAAATGTTTTTTACAGTTCCAGTTTGAACTTTGAAATCCTAGTTATAATATTTTCCTTCGAATCACAGCCACATGCCTTCACTCATCAATGCACATAATTGCTAACTCAGACATGTGCGTATGCATACACATGTAGAATATGACTTAACCTTACGACATTGGGTTTTGGATTTTAATTTTGGGTCTTCTTTTTAAAGGTTGGCGTAAATGGGCTGTCTATAAAGCATAGATTATCTGGTCACCAGAAACCCATTCATTCTGTTTCATGGAGTCCTAATGATGAAGAGCTACTAACATGTGGAGTGGAGGAATGTGTTAGGCGTTGGGATGTCTCTACTGGTAAGTGTCTCCAAATTTATGAAAAAGCTGGTGCTGGCCTAGTCTCCTGTACATGGTTTCCAGGTGGGAAACATATACTTTCTAGCTTAAGTGATAAGAGCATTTGCATGTGGGAATTAGATGGGAAAGAAGTGGAGTCTTGGAAAGGACAGAAATCCCTTAAGATTTCTGATTTGGATATAACGGATGACGAAGAAGTGATTCTAAGTATTTGTAAACCCAATACAGTACTGTTATTCAATAGAGAAACAAAGGTTGAGAGATTTATTGAAGAAAGTCAGCCATTAACTTCTTTTTCCTTATCAAAGGATAACAAATTCTTGCTGGTTGATCTTTTGAACCAAGAAATACATCTATGGAATATTGAAGGTGATCCTATGCTCGTTGGCAAGTACAAAGGTCATCAGCGCGCTAGGTATATTATAAGGTCTTGCTTTGGTGGACTTAAGCAAGCTTTCATTGCTAGTGGTAGTGAGGATTCCCAGGTATGGACCTTTATTTATCGCTGAGAATGAACACAATTCTTTGAAACATAACGTCTTATAATTTGCTAAATAAAATTCTTAAACTTTAGTATGATCACATTCCATGTTTGTAGGTTTACATATGGCACAGAAGCTCGGGAGAACCAATAGAGATATTGCCCGGTCATTCGGGATCTGTTAACTGTGTGAGCTGGAATCCCGCTAATCCCCACATGTTAGCCTCTGCCAGTGATGACCGGACAATTCGGATATGGGGCCTCAACAGTCTGAATAAAAAGTACCAAAATGGACAGAGCAATGGCATCCATTACTGCAATGGAGGAACTTAGATGACTTACTCATTTTCAATTGATATATCTTTTTAATTATCATTGCAATTGTGTAAATACCATTACTGTCTTCAAAAGTAGATATTTATTTCAAAACATGCATGTGACTTTTCATAAATCTCAATAAATTGTTGTTTCATTTCATTCATAAGTTCAATTTTTTCTTTAACAACTTAAGTTAGCTATTACTATGTTAGTGTGCGAACATGCAATTGAACTTGCAAGCAGTTACAACCAAATGAATTAGGCTCATGGAAATATTCTTTGTGCAGTTTTACTCTATTTGGCAAGTTCTCTTTTCGGGTATAGAATGCATTAGTGAAGATTACAGATTCTTTTGCCTATTGCACATTTAGTCCTAACTTTTCCTTAACCAGCATCCAGATTTTCTGTGCATAACTCACGGGAAAAAATCTCGATTTAAATTTTGCAAATTCTAAGTTAGGTCTGGTAAAAAAATTGAAAGTCTAATTCTAGTATGTAGTTTTTTTTTTGTTGCCGTGAGTGTAGTTTTAAATCTGAGTCTAATATTGTTCACTTTTGTTTATAGAATATGTGAAGTTTTCTTTAAAGTAATTTGTTGAGTGAGATTGGATGAAGCAATCTACATAATAGTTTTGAAAGAATTTAAAATGATTTAGATAAAAAAAATTGTTTGAATAAAAATATGAAAAATTGTTAAAATTATAAAATCTATCAAGTATTTTGTTCAAATAAAATTTAATGATTTTAAAATGATATATAAAATTAAAGAATTTCAAATTTCTCTCATATTTTATAGAATTTGAATTACTAATTGATTAATGTTATCATTTTAAATTTTGTAATTTAGTTTCAGTATTTCTTAAAATTTTAAAATTGATCTTCAAAATTTTTCAAAAAATTACAAATGAGTCTTCAATAATTTTCAAATTTTATAAATTAATCCCTTTAAATTTTAAAAATTACAAAATAGTCTATATTTTTTTAATTTAAAATTTGATTCTTAAAAGTTTAAAATTTATGAAAATGATTTAAAAAGATCTAATAATAATTTATCTTATTACTCTATCCAAGTAATTTTTTTTAAAAAATGAATAGATTCCAATTGAATCATATTAGAATATCAAATTTCTTAAATTTTTTAATTATTTGATTCAAACACACTCTTAAACTTTATTAGAAAATTTGAAGGGAAAGAGAGGGGGAGGATTATTAGTGATATTTGAAAGAAAAAAGAAGAAGGATTTTTGGTCGAGAGAATTTTAATTAATTTATTTTTATTTATAATATAAAATTATTTTATTTTGAAAAACTTTAAATTTATATTGAAGGATGATCTAATATATTTTATCTTATATAATATTTTAAAAATTGAAATCGCAGTAAGAATAAATATTATTATTTTTCATACAATAGTACTAAAAAAATATTAAAGATTTTTTATTTTTTTTATACAAGTCATGTTCCCCAAAGTCCTCACTTCTCCGAGTCTCAAAATTCTTAAAATATAAAAAAAGTGGATTCATCTAACGATGTCGGTAGACGTGATAATCAAACAGTATGTGGTGGTTTACTTCTAATCAAAATACATGATTATATGGTAATGCTTACTTTGAGGGGTGTCCTAGAGGGCTTATGACTTACACGAGCTTGTGCTCGTGAGCATTTAAAAGTCAATCTTACGGTGAAATCAATTATTATTGGTGATATTTTGAGGGAAAGTAGTAATATAGGTGGTTTTATTGGTTTGAGATTAATCAAGTAGATCAAACAACTTTTTACAATGGAGTGAGAAATAAAAATCTGGCATTCATACTATGAAGTAACTCATAAATGTTAGTGCAAACTCTGGTTGTACTTAAATTGAAAGAAAAAAATAATTGAGAGAATGTAAAGAATATGCAAGTGCAATATTGAAATTTAGTAACAACATTACAACCAATGTTCATATAGTAAGTGAGATTACTTAAGTACGAAGTAGCTAATTAACTTTACCACTCAATTACATTCTAATTGATTCTAACCGCTATATCACATAATGTTAGATTATCGCACAACATAATGCTCCTTGTAATCCAACTTAAAAAGAATACAACAAACTTATAAATTAAGCAAAAAAATAATTAGAGAAAAATAAATAATGAAATCTACACCGAGTATTATTTATCTCACAGAAAAGAAAGAAAAATATCGAAAAAAACCTAAGAAAGGAGAAATCAAGGTCTTGCGATCAAAAGATTGGGTATGAGATGTAAGAGAAATATATTAGCACCTCTCACGTCTGTGATACTCTACGAGATCCACTCTTGTTGTTCAATCAAACGGTGTATAAGTCTAAAGCTAATCAAGCTAAGAGAAAATGCATGTATGCAAAGTATATACAAAAAGAGAGTTTTTATTAGTTTTATCTGTTGCACTTGTGAACCTTTGTGCTTACGTACCACCTTTCAAAGTACTCAACATGCATAACATGACCCATTTTTAAGGCAACAAGTGGATAAAACCCTAGGGGTGCAAGTGTGCATTGTGTTGTCATTTTCATTCATTTTTGTCTTTGTATTAGTCAAGCTACTTGTTGATTTTGGATTTTTGCATACAAACCCTAATCTCTAATCATGACATGATTGAAAGCGTAAATGTGTAAAATAAATCTACCACTATTACAACATGATTATGGGGATGGGGATACAATTTTTGAATGGAGATTATTTGACAAGAAATTAAAACCCTAATTTCACTATTACATCCAAATTGAATAATGACATAAATAATAAATGAATAATATTTAAATAAACAAATTAAATAAATATACAAAAAAATAATATGAATATGCAAAAATATTTATGTTTATTTTTTTTATGTATGTAAAAAATATTTAATGCAAAAAGAAAGAAATAAATAAAAAAGGATTATCATTTTTTTTATTAAGGGTAAAACCCTAATTTTCTTTTAAGAATGTAAATATATTAAATATACTATTTGTAAAATAAAATAAAATAATGTATATTCAAAAAATAAAATATATTTATAAAAAAAAGTATTTTTTAAGTATAAGTAATAATAAAAATAAAAGTATAATATTTTTATGTTTTTATTCTCAAGTATATATATATATATATATATATATATATATATATATATATATATATATATATATATATATATATATATATATATATATATATATATATATATATATATATATATATATATATATATATATATATATATATATATATATATATATATATATATATATATATATATATATATATATTAATTATATTAAATATGTACAAGACAAAGATATATTTAGAACAATATTTTTTTGAGTGTAAATAAAATAAAGAATAAAAATAAAAGTATAATGGTTATTATATATTTATTTTCAAGTTTTCAATAAATAAAAGTATATACTATTAAATTATTATTTTCATGTCTAAAAAATAATAAAATAATAAAAATAAATATGAAAATTTATGAAAATATTTTGGGGTATTTTTATGTTTGGAAAAGTATAAAATAAAATCAGAAAATGAAAAAAAAAAAAATAAAAGTATAAAGAAATTGGGTCAGGGGGGTGCATTCAGCAAAAGGAGGGTGTTAGAAACAAAAGAACCAAAGCCCAGCCCAAGCCAGACTTCATCTTCAACCTCTCTTCAAAATTTCGCGCGCCCTGTACCAAACATGAACAACCTGCATACGAGCTCTAATGCAAAAACACATAACATCAAAGTTGTAGGATTTTCCAAGACGAATTCAACCATATAAAAAACTTGTCCTAACTCTCAAAGACCAGAGAGAATTTCTCTGGTCCTAAATCTTAACCTATTTTTTTCAGGATGTTCATGGACCAAATTCTCTTAGCATGCTTAACTAAAATGAAAACTGAGCATATGTACAACTTCATGGCTATGAATACTACATTTCTTATTCATAAACCTAAGCCTAATTGTTCCTAAATAGAGAGATAGGAAGTTGACAAAAACCTGTTTCAGTTGACTTCGTGTCTGACAATGTGGAGCTTTTCAATGAGGCCTGAGATGTTTGGGAGCTTGCTTGAACTTCCCCTGACCTTCTCCAATGCTTAGCTTGCCTTGAATGTGCTTGAACAAGCCTACATAACTCAACCTGCACAAGCTGAAATTAAAAATGGAAAACCTTGTAAATGGAGTTACAGTTAGTGTTTAAGGGTTGAGATAGCTTGGATAGGTTGTATGGAAGGTATTTGAACAGGTTTGGGACAAAACGCACGAGAAACTTGTGAGATAGAACTCAAGATGCAAATGCTGATCTGTTTTGCCAATGGAAGGTGATTTTGTGCTATGGGAGGTTTGAGAGCTCAAAGGGTCGTGTTTCTGGTTCAAGGGGATGTGAGAAACTTGTCTCAAGTGCTTGCCAAAGTTGGTTTTCACAAATGTGTCTGTTATGTGATATTGGACATGTTTCTTGTATATGAAGCAAAAATGGATAAGTGATGCAAAGCAGGCCTGTACAGGCTATGCATCAGCTTGCATACTATGCTTTTGTCCCCTCAAGTTGGTGGATTTGATTTGCTGCACAAGATATGGCTCAATGCTCAAGGATGTTGTTTTGACATAAAGCAAAATTTAAGCAAAAATGGCAATGTTGCTTTTTCTATTTAAGGATTAATCTTGTGTGCAATGCTCTAATGACCAAAACAAAACCTTAGACCAATGGATTTGCATTTAATTATTGAGTTTGGAATGGTTTTGAGGCCTGTAATCTAGTGCAAAGTAAGCTGATTTGAATTTGCAACTTGTATCAATATGAGCATGCCATGGATAAAAAGTGAGTTTTTGCCAACTTCAAGCCTTCGATTCTCCCTAACCACAAATGAGTTTGGAGAGTTCTTGGACATTTTAGAAATCTTGCAACATGCTCTACAATACATCTTTGAAATGCAATTTGAGATTCCAAGTGGAACTATGTGAAAAATGGTCATGAAGGTGGGTCAAAATCCTGCCTAAACTAGGGCAAAATTTCACTAAGTTAAA